ACAACTTCTATGGCAGACGACTTCGGACTATGTGCGTTCTACTAAGTCACCCTGACAACAAGACCAAGTTGCGACAATGAGGTCAACCCACTTCCATAAATCGAAAGGAGACTGTGACCATACCAGAGGCCACAACATCTTGGTCTTCATATCTTCATGGTAAACGGAAATTTGAAGAAATAGTGAGAAAATTCAATCATCACTCTTTCGCCACCCTGTGCGAAATAGGGTGCGGGAACTGAACTGGCAATTTCTAAGCCCACTTTATACGAATACATACATGTATTTCACATTACAATAAATGAGGTTACTTTTAATTAGTGTGAGTATATTTTGAAACTACAAAGGATTCTTGGATGGCTATTCCATTGCTTTTTGATCCAAGTGAAATCTTAAAATTTATGTATAGCCTAGGGACTTGCGACGTCTGAGCATCAGGAATTGTTGATGCATTTGAAGAGGTCTGAATTTTGTCCGCCCGTTTTTCATGTTGGACCATGCTTTATTGCCAAATAAACTGGCATTCAGCCTTTCTTGGCTTCTCGAACACAAACTAAGAACCCAACTATGAAAGTCTCAAGGCCAGTTGCCGTCTCAGAAAAATTGGCCATCCCCAAACTGGCAATCCGATGCTATTCAAACGGATGACGGGCGATACTCTCGCATCAACAGTCAAGTTTCTGTCAACAAACCGCGCTTCACTGGTTGATCGACGCATGGCCTCCGTCTCTAACTGTCTCCAACAGATGGTTAACGTCTCACGAGTCACTTGCAGCCCGCATCTACAGCTTGGAATAAACCAAGCTAGTCATTCAACTCTAGCCATTCAACCTCAACTTTCCACCTTCCAGTCTATCATTCAATCTGACAGTCATCCATGTATATTTATCTAACCCTCTGATTTGGGATAATCCTACTTACCTATACACTTTTGTCCATCTACTGGCTCCGTATACTCACTTTGCTGCTTCTTGGCCAAAACGACTGTATGTCGTCTTTTCATGCGCACCAACAGCAGTTTAATATTATCCAAATTATCATATATTTTCTGTATTTTAGGCATAAAAGTTATTCTTCGCTCTCAAAGCTAGCATTTGAATCTGTTCCAAAGCTCGAACAAGAGTGGAAGCGTTCTAAATACAACATATTGTTGTTGCCATAGTCGGTTGTGATGAGAGAGTTAAGCGAGTGTTTTTTCCACTTTCATAGTTTTTAACATACACATACGTAAGTGTGAATGTCCCCGGATTCAAAGAAACCTTTCCATCCTACCAGGCGCTGTATGGCCTAGAAACCTAATCCGATGACATTAACTAACTAATTGACCTCCAAGTGACTGGAGGACGTCTAGAACAGGTTACAATGAACCAACTCTATCGACTCTTGTTGAGTTTCAGAGACTAAGTATTGAGCGACTAAGGCCATGGAGCTTGATCTTTAAATTAGCCCAAAACAAGACGCTTCTTATAGAAATAAGAGATGGGTTTTGAAAAATCTTTTAACAGATTAATGTTGGCATACCTTTCCTTTCGTTCAAAGAGGCGAATAGGAGGGATTCGTAAATTTGCCTGACCTGATACCGTCGTCTAGGTCTAATCAGCATCAACAACCAGATTCTAAATTGGGTTGTGCGCAACGCAACAGCACTTTTCAAATTCCGTCACACAACCAAGGGTGTTGTTGGGTTACAGATCATAAATGACCTTTAAAGCAAGCTGTTTCATCCAACTAATATTTATAGTTGGATTGTAGATAAGTCAAAATTGTATTTGGAAGTTGTTTGACCTTGTTTTCGTAATTTGGTCCTATTGATGGGAAGACCTTGAGGAATGCACCTAGTCCAACGTCCATAATATGCATGATAATTTCCAGAGTCGGACTGTGTGTAGTATCTAGTTTGATTCTATTTTCGTTTCGAATAAAAATTTGGTTGGAGGAGATTCGTGAAGTGGATGATTGTCTTGAAGAGAAGACTGTTGGATTGTGCCAAGCGTAAGATTAGAGAGCCTATAGAAATGAATGGAATTGCTAACATTCTTAATAAGAGGAACGAGTATATTAAATGAATTCTAACAAATCATGGCTGTTGGATAGACTTAAAGAAAGAGAAAGCGTGAGCAGGATGAAAAGCTGAGCAAAAGGAGCTGGCTGGAATAACCGTCAGTCTTATTATGGCTATCACACGTCAAAAGATTGGAATGTTGCATGCATAATATACACAATTCCACACAACAAAACATACCTCAACATTAGGGGGCAGCTGCTACTGCATCAATTTCCTTATTGTAGAGTATGATTTCTTGCTCAGACGATGCCATACACTCGACGACGTAACCTATTTTACCTTTTGAGAAAATAGGCTAAATGAAATTTCTTGACACTATGAAGCCTAATCATATCACTATTTGAAAACTCCAATACGAGTCGAAACAGCGCTTCTTTCAGATCCACTGGCAGTATTAGGAAACTGCATATTATGGAAAATTTGGAGGCTACCATAAAGGCTCTTACATTAATTTGTAGAGAAAACTTGTTATTGATAAGAAGTTGATAATGAATGTGGATGTAGTACACATATGGTAATGGCGTAAATAAAGCTTGGTGCCATTATAAACGTCAAAATATCAAATAATAATGTCTTATCAAAGGCTATTATATAATTGTATTTCGCAATGTGATAAATGCATTGCGTAGGAGGGTGAGCATTGGGCCAAATCGGAAAAAGTTCTTAAAGAAAATTTTCGATTTTTATAGGCAGAGGATGCAACGTCTGCCACCACGAGGTCGCCAAATTGTATATGCAAACAGAGTGGATGAAAATTAGAGGTGGAGTGAGAAATCTTTACCCGTAAGTTGCCTCAGAAAATGTATGAGTTGATTATTTTCAATTGGATCAATTGAGTTAGGAAGCTATATGTTGAATTTAATGTTTTCAGCCTCATAATCAAAGATTTTTCCTTTACTTGTATTGCTAAGTTAGGCAAAACTGAAAGTCAGATAGATGTAACAAGACGAAGTGTAAACGAAGACAATCGGCAAGTCAAATAAGGGAAAATTACTTTTCATGCGACAGTGCATTAATTGCAAGCAATTATAAAAAGTCAAATGGTTAGCAGATCAGAAAGCTGCGGGTGAATTTCGTTTGCACCAGAAATCTCAAATGAAGAAAAGTGTGTCTTTTGCTTCCTTAAAAAGTCGGCTAAGTGCTGTGGCAGTCTCAATCCGCAAACTGAAGAGAGCCAAAGAAAAATGCCTATAGGCATTATCAACAATCTACATACAGGCGTCTTGTATTTTGCGATACGAGGAGAAGCTGTGTTTCGAAGAATCTATTAATATATTGATACTGGCATACCTTTCAATTCGATTGAGAAGGCGGATAGAAGGTATTCGTAGACTGGCCCCACTGGAAACCGCAGAAGACCTTAGACTTTTGCCTGTTAAATTGTGTGAATAAGACCTCGGCTCACCTTCCTACGATCCCGATGGCTCGAGCTCAGCTTTCGTTTGTTCTGTGACGGACATCGTCAGAGTCAGAAACCATGATTCACGAAAAAATCAACAAAAAAGCACTAAACCAAAAAACTGGCCAGCTGAGATCCTACGTACGAAAAAAGGATGACCGAGATAGCGTTAGTCCGTAAGTCCCCCTGGCTAAATTGATGAGATGTTGGTGTGTACACGTGAAATTCAGATTACGAGCCCGTTAGTCTGGGATATTAAGGTTTAATGACCCACGGAGAAGCTTGTATGGGATTGTGTATATGCTAATAAAAGTTGGGTTTCGAGGAATCTCTTGTTTCATAATTGCTGAGCTTACGTTCATTTTGAGTAAAAGTGTTTGACGAAGAAATTCGAAGGTCAATTTCACCAGAAGACGACGGCGGATTCCTCTTGACCAACTGTGGATTTACTTTACTGGAATATTCATGGTGAAGCTGTTTCAGAGATGATCTCCTTCGATTCCGGTGAAAAGGTGAAAAACTTTCGTTCGTCATATCGCTAACATCATCAGAACAAGGTATCAATTTCAATTCAAGGTTAGCTTGAAATTGGTTGCGACGATTAAACCTTGTTCTGATGATTTTCGTCATATGACGGACGAAAGCTTAGCACCTTTTTACCGGAATCGAGGGAGATTACCTGGGATTGAATATCCCTGAACGTCTGTTTTGGCTGATGAGCTTACCATGTCTGTTGAACGAGTATTAACTTGGTCAAAACCATCACTCGGCTGACAAATTGAGTCGTCTTCTTTTGGACGGCGGCTCAACGCTTTATCTCTTTTGATCCTTCAATCAAGAAAAAGTAATTCTTACTCAAATTTCTGCCACCATTCCTCACATTCAATAGCCCCTCTTTACTTGTTTTTTAGCAGATATACCATAATCAGCAAACCTCTGATTCTATCTCATGTCCAGTCTGTGCCATGTGTTCCGCCACTTCTGAACGTTCGACCCAGCTGCCTTTACAAGCATTATTAGGCTCCACTAATCTGACAGGTCGGTCGACAGGTCTCGCCAACGTAAGGTCGACCGCAGTAGTACATAATCTTATAACAGCCGGATCTTGATAGAGGGTCATATTTCTCTCTAAAGGAAGGTATAACCGCAGAAAGTGTTAGAGTTTCATTGGAAAGTGTCTTTGTCCCCCCCTTCCTTACTAGTTCGCTTATCTTCTTGGAAAGAGGACATGATGGCCAGATTAAAACATGAGAAAGGGTCTCGGTTTGTCTCTCTCTTACCAAATAGTCTCCACCTGAAAATTTACTCCTCATTAAACATATATTATTATCAATTAAGCCCAAAGAATACTTCTTCTCCAGGACTAAACCTTTCAGTTTTCTTAGCTCTTCGGTCAGTTGACTTTAATCTGCAGCCTCATACTTGTCATGATCATGGGTTTTTAAACTCCAACCTTAGTTTGGTAACTATGGCTAGAAAGAAAATTAAGAACAAAACCAGCATATGCTGGTTTCTTATAAACATCTCTGCACACCATCTTCCCTAATAACGATAACATCCAAACAAGGTAATTTCCTATTTTCTTCTCATTCCATTGCGAATTTAATATTTCTTTAACGCTGGTTAAGGGAAAATAGGAAACTATTTGAACTATATTTATCATACTGTCAGATCACAAAATAAGCTTCTATTTTTCTAACAAACAATTCAGGAGTGAGAAATACCTCTTGCATTAAGCGTTCCACAAACCTAGCCCTGAGGTTATTCTCCAAAAATTGAAGCTAAGCCAGAATCAATTGCAAGTCCTTGTGTCTGTTAAAAAAACTGACCGACAAGGATGTAATCTGTACTACTCATGAATACGTTAAGGGCTAGTGAGATTGTCGAGTGAAAGTGTTGCGTGAAGAGATTCGAAGGTCGGTTTCACCAAAAGATGGCGGCTTATTCATTTTAGCGTATAGTCAGAATAGGGGTTTGAGTTCAAAAAGGTCACCTTTATATATGTATACATATATATATATCAACTTAAGTATAGAGTCAATGATGATATTGATAAATCTGGTAATGTAGTGTATACATTTTACCTGTAATGGTGAGCTGTGCAAATAAATATGAAGAAAAGTTGGGTTTCGAGGAATCTCTTGTTTCATAATTGTTGAGCTTACTTCCATTTCGAGTGAAAGTGTTGGGTGATAGGATTCGAAGGTCGGTTCCACCAGAAGACGACGGCGAATTCCTCTTGACCAGCTGTCGATTGGCTTTACTGGCCGAAGCACCAGAAGACGACGGCCGATTCCTCTTGACCAGCTGTCGATTGGCTTTACTGGAAGATTCATGCTGACGTTGTTTTCGAGGCAATCTCCTTCGATTCGGGTGAAAAGATGCTAAGCTTTCGTCCGTCATATGACGAGCATCATCAGAGCAAGATA